AGATGTGTATAAGTAGCCAACGTAGATAATATATCGTCTCAAGTAGACTTATTAGTTAAATTTCCTTTAGTTGTATTGTAATCACTTGTTTATGTTATTGGATGAATAAAGAATGAATGAATGAATGAATTAGCAATGGGCAGGTTAATTAGCTGCTCTTAAACTTCAAAACAGATTTGTGCATCTTGGTAACTGACCATGCAACGAGAAATAATTACTGTATATAATGATACTTTAGGGCTGTCACGATTATAAAGGGCGGACATGCAAATCAGTATCTTGTTAAGGATAACTGCTTTTATAGAATATAAAACTAATTAAGCTTTTCATTCGTTCAGATTTTATTTTTCTATTTTATTGTGTTTCTCTTTTTCTTCACAGTATCTCATATTTTATTATCAATGCAAACTGCGGGCTTGCCGCTGTTGAGTATGATTTGGAAAAAAACAGGCCTGTGACATAAACTGAAAGTTTATATTTTTATCCAGAATAATTTGACACATTTTGTTTTATGATCACAGCATTAGTTATGGTAATACATTATAGGCTTACAGAGAATTCGTCAGATTTCGCACAACCTATATAGCTCAATGATCGTTAAATCCTAATCCTTGAGCATACTAAAAAAAGTAACAATAACAGACGATAGCAAACAAGTAATGCATGAGTGTCTGAGCTGTATTTCGATAAGCACTCAATCATCCTCTTTCATTCTTCTGTACTCAGTACCGTCAGCCGTGTTGTCTCAGATTTGATCAAACAAGAGTGTGCTTTATTAATTCTCAGAATTCGAATTGAATTCCAGGTGAACAGATTATTACGCATTCGTTATTTTACCCAAGAGTTGGCAAACAGGGCTACCTTGACATTTTAATCAATGTATTACGAATCATTTAAAGTATAATATGGCATGTTTTGAAATTTCGATCTATTCTAGAAAACATATTGATTACACTAGGAACAATGTTGTTTTATGTTGTATTTCCATATATTGTGGGAATTTTATTTACGATATTTTTCAGTGTCGTGTATATGAGTATTCCGAAACTATCAAGCGACTATACACATGATCGTTAACTAGAAAATTATTAGGCACAAAATGATCTGCCAACATCTACCCCGTGAACGATGATATATCAATTGTATCTATAATCTTTTTATCACGATATTGTAATTGTAATAACGTTACTTTTAATTATTTTATTTTCTGATATATTAAACTTCTTACGAAAGCCTATTAGGGCCACTGAAATATATATTTTTATGTCGTAATTACGACTTATTATGTCGAAATTACGACATACGTATGTCGAAATTTCGACATAATAAGTCGTAATTACGACTTACGTATGTCGAAATTTCGACATAATAAGTCGTAATTACGACATAGGCTTGGGCCACTGTACGTATTGTTTCTCGTCAGCTTCACTTATGTACGATTGAAAAGTTGTGACTTGCAGTTGAGTGATATTTTAATTTTGAATTTCATATTTTCAGTTATATTTTGAAATAAATTCATTTGGATCCAAATATAATTTGTATGAAATTTTTCATTAGTGTTGATCCAGCAAAATAAAAACCAATAGTACTCACACTACGTTTCGCGAACGATCCGTTCGCTTTTTCAAGTAGACTGGTGATGTTATTTCCAGTCTGGTCTGACGTCACCTCGGTGTTGTTGAGGTCGAAGTGCATCGCTGCGTCGTCGACGAGCACCCCCTCCCCCTCTTAGTGTTGTGGTTCAATATGATATCATCATAGATATGTGATAGAATGTGAGGGACATAAAAATATTACAGAAAGAAAGCTCATGGTTTGAACGAAAAGTCAGAGAATCTTTATGGATTAGAAAAACAACAGATAGAACAGAGATGAAGGACACATTTTGAAAAATGTGTAAGTTGAGTGGGTTTTTCATGACAGGGCAGAAATAAATTAAATATAAAAATACTGTTTTAATAATGATAATATAAATAATAACTAGAATTACTCCTTTTACGCTACGTAGTAAAAGGATATTTTTGTCCGGTACAAAATGTTTAAATATTTTGAATTCTGAAAATGTAAAAGCATTTTGAATTTGTTTAGGATAGGCTAATAGGGCCTAGGTGGGACCGAAAGGGTGGGGACAACAGAATGGAACGACGAATGGTATGGAGAAATTGGGTTGGGAAACGTGGTATGGGTAATGAGTTCCCTCCTGCGCACACACTTCGGGGGCGGATCAAGAGATGTCGACAAAAGTGGGGTCGGTTGACAGAAAGGGGGGTGGGGAAAAAAGTTGGGCCAATCGACATAACACTACAGGGGATCCAGGGGAATTCCCCGGTAACTGTTTTGTTTGTTTTAAAAACTGAAATAACCTCTGAGGCCTTTTTTGGCGATCGTTTTTTTTTTCTTATTTTTATATATTTTATTTACTAAATTTTTATAGCGCCCTTTTCATGAGTACTCATGTTCAAAGGCGCTTTACATTAAGGATACAAATAGAATACACCCACACCCTACTACGGACCGTCACCAAAATGTAATCATATCTTTACTGGGTTATGCCTGACACTCCCTCTTATTTTCATTTATGTCAGTGCAGCCGTTTTTGATATATGTTGCACACAAAAATACCACATGAAAATACCAAAACGTTACACACACACACACCCACACACACGCACACACCCCACCCAAACACTCAAATGTTAACACCCCAAAGTACTACAAAGAAATGTCATTATTTTTAAGAAACTAGAAAATAAAATTAATATCCTTTGCAGCGGTAAAAATGAGTAAACGTTAATCATGGGCGGAGATATGATATTTATTTTACAATACAAACTAAATCAGACAAACAGTATAAACCCCAATGGCAAATATCCCCACCACTGACGCAGGGCCATCGGAACCACACCGGCCGCACAGGCTTTGGCCGGACGACTTTTTCCCAATTGTATTACTGTACTTTTAAAAATAAATATACTCTGATACCTGAAGTATTAATGTTAGCATTAAATTGACTTTTTAATATTGTATACCGTATTTAAACAAAAATCCACCATTTTTCATTCACCGTTTTTGTATTGCCCATGTACATTTCAACTCTTTTGACAATCCTTAACTTTAGTAATTAAGATTGATTTTAAAAATCTTTAGATATATACATATAAATAGTGGCCCAAGCCTATCGAAATTTCGACATACGTATGTCGTAATTACGACTTATGTTGTAATTTCGACATATTATGTCGAAATTTCGACATAATAAGTCGTAATTACGACATACGTATGTCGAAATTTCGACATAATAAGTCGTAATTACGACATAAAAAATATATATTTCAGTGGCCCTAATAGGCTTTCGTAACTTCTTACTTTTCTTTTCCCCATTTAATTTTTCTAATTTTTTTTTTATTTCAGTAGGCCTAATTTTACTGTTTCTTTATTATCATTTTGAAACAAAATTTTGTTAATAATTTTGTTTTCAATCTTTTTAACGTTTACCACAATTTATATACTTAGAACTTTCCAAGATTTGTCTTGCATTCAGTTGTATTAGTTTAATTCGTTAATTTTATCGGTCTAGCTTATTTTGCCTTATATTGTATATACCATGTGCCCATACTAGCTTAAAAAATTTTTATTTTCTACATTAGTCTATATTAATAAGATTTAGTTAGGGTATGAACATTTGACTACAATAAATATTTTATCAAATTTAGTTGATAAAAATTCGCTATGGTCAAGTGATACTCTGATGCTTTCTGAGATAATGGTAAATGGCCTAACGATGGACCATGATGCCAAAACACTTAAGCCACACTAAAAGCCAGTAACAGCGCCAGCTAGGGTGTCAAGGGAAAATTTTGGACAAGTATGAAGCCCCTTCCCTCGAAGCCACTTTGAGTTCGTCGGATTATAAATATTCTGAGAGGAGAATTTTGGGTCGTCCTAAATAAAATCCAAGATCTCTTTCCATGAACCCATCTAGATTTTTTACCGGGACCCTGAACCAATTAGGCGGCCCCTTGGTGCGGGCACCTTGTCGAATACACTGTCGGCAAATGTCTGGAGCCACCCACTGCCAAAAACCTAAACGGGAATCACAAATCTTTCTCTTCCAAAGTCTAAATATTTAGGCTCAATGCAAACGACTACACATCAAAATCAATTAACATAAACACATAAATTTACTTTATTTTATCTTTATTTCATGCAAGCAGTACATTGCATCAATAACATATACAAACTCGCGCCACCAAAAGAGCACACCAAAAACCTTTTCGTTATTTTCGAGATCTTATTCCAAGCCGCAGTTGATAAGCACGATATTTACGGAAGTCTTAAAATCAAATAAAGCGGTACAACGATGGCAAATTGAAAATTCAATGACAATTCCCCCTAATTTACACAGTGAACACACCTGCACCTAACATGATTTAGCATAACATTTCTTTCGCATGTGTTATATCTATCAGTAGATCATGAATTTCTAATTTACTAAATACACCTACAGGCAGAGTGTGGGTCACAATAACATTCATCCAATTAAGCCATAACAATATGAAGTAAATGATTACATAATAATTCTTAAAAGGCTAAAGAACGTTATGTTTATATCTCAAATCCTATATCAAGTAATATTCTTCAGCATGTTGTGTTGGTTCATAATATAATGTTTTAAGAGTAAATATGAATATAGAAACATCATGCAGTTCAGGCAATTAAAATGTAAAGCATTATTGTGCAGTTAGATGTTTTGAAAGACTGTAACATTGACTATATAATTCAGTGAAATTTGTAAGAACTAGTAAACAACTTGTTTGATTAAATACTAATTAGTGTTGAAAATGTATCACTATGTATTTTACCAGTGTGTGCTGTCCAGAAATAAAGAGGCCATTAATAAGAGGCATTTAAAAATATTTGTACGTCCTAATAAAGAAAGTCCTATGTAAAAAAACCCCAATACAATTACATAATTATATTAATCATCAAAATAAACATCTTTTTCACCAGATTCTACCTCTCATTGTGTCTAAAGACCACTTGATTTCAGAAAAATCAAAATTGTTACGAGCGTCCACACAACTTAACACTTAATTCTTGTATACAATTGCGTAGTTCAACATGTATTAAAATCCCTTCACATTTTCAATTTTAACTTTTACAGCTTTTATTACCCCGAATTCTCTGGTTCCACTAAATGTTATTAATTCCATGTTTCACTTATATAAACACAATAGATACATTTTGCATACTACACATTATGCAATAACCGTTAAGCCTAATTTCATGAAAATCGCTACACTGTCGCTACAATGTTTTCAATACAATTGTTGTACTGCGCAGCAGTCCCTGACGCAATCGGGAAACTTCCCCGATTCGACAGACCAATCAGCATCACCGAAAGCTGTCGGCGATAGCATGTAGCGATTGTATAGAAACCAAGCTTAACCCAAACTAACCAAATTGATTGAATTGACTTGAAATGTGATCAAAATATCAAACAATTTGAATGGACGAATTGGTAAAACACAGCAAGTTTCTAGCATGCATGGACAGAATAATACAATCGCGAGTTTTCAACATCTTGGGAACGAGCTTTTAAAATGAATACTCTAACTTCTATAAGCATGCCTGAATAATGTTACATATTAAAATTCTTGAATCAAGTGTATATTCATATAGTGCAAAGGAAACCACACTTTTGTTAATCAATTATAGATTTAAAAGTCCTATTATTAGAACATACAATATGTAGATAATTCCAGAAAGTTAATCTACAGGAGAAACAACATTCTATTTTTTGATGCCTAATTTTTCCACTGATTTTAAAACTATTTTGAAAGCATTCCTACATTTACCATGCTCAACGTTTTGGGAAAATGTACGGACACACAATCAGATCCAATAGGTCTTCAACTCTTAAATTTCTACTACTATAACATAGTAATACTGACCTTTGGAAAAACTTAAACTTCTTTCTGTTGAAATATTATAAATTTTTTTATTATTACTCTTGGTTTAATTATATGGCACAATAAATTTCTTTTAATAAATTACATTATTCCACATAGTATTTCTCTAGACGAGACAATAATGTCCAAAACACTTATTAGGCCTACCTATGAATTAGTTATAATGCAATCATGCACAATGAGTGTACTTAAGATATAAATCAGGGGAGTATGGTAAATTGAACTGCACCCATAACCTTCAATTTCTACTTACTCTCAATTTTTTCATTTTTTTCTACTTGTATTGGATTAAATCCTTATTCATTCAAATAATAACACGATTAAGCATTAACATATCGTTGTTCAACAATAAGATTTCCTTATTATTTGATGGACAATCATTTGCCTTTTATTTTAATTATTATTTGTAATCTTAATTATAGTTTTTTAGACTATGGAACGATACACCTTCATTTACATCATCCATGATATATAAAGGAACTTCAACACCAAATTCAAATAAATAATTACAAAATATTAATAATTACAAAATAATAATAATAATCAACAATAATAATAATAATAATTATAACAATAATAATATTAAATTGTCATTTGTATAGCGCCCTTTTAAAACTATTGTTTGACACTGGCGCTCACGATTTTGAATCCATTTCAGCTATAGGAAACTGTAAGACATATCTAAACCACATTTTTCAACCATGATTTATGAACACAAATGTAGCAACAAGCGACCAAAAATACACCAGTCATGTAAATGACATTAACACAATTATATATTTGCTTATCAAATTAAGATAATAATATTCCCGAACTAAATTTAATTTATGTTACTGATTATCAATACAGTAGATTCAATTGCCAAAAAAAAATTCCTTTCTCTACCTTATTATGATAGAAATAAACTATTTTAATAGATTTGTTGACTTTTAACCAAGCAAGCAAATTAATGGACTATAAACTATACGTTACTCAAGTAGCGTCTAAATAATTACACTTCCAAAGGAAAACCTCTATTGCACTAATAATATGCATGCTGGGGAACACCGGCACCTTCATGTCGTAAAACCAAAGAAGAACATCATTGCAAATAAATAAATCAATATTTAATAATTATATCTTACAAAAACAAAAATTAGCATGAGAATCAAGCAGATTAAGTACACATAAATAAAAGACCTGGAAGAATTTTGATTGCAATGTGTCTGGCTTGGGCTAAGAGTGCGATCCAACTATTTTTCTACATATTGCATCATTTTTTTAAGTGCAGAATCATACTATCTAATAGGCATTGACAGTGAGTACAATCAATATGAAAACGTAAATAATTGTGTTTATAAGCAGATGAGTTGTCTTTACACTGAACACATGCATGAACCGAATAACCAATTCTATGCAAGAGCTACCTATATTTTTTTTTTAGTTAATGCAGGCTAAAAATACAAGGCATGAATAAAAAATTAAGCTCTACATAAAAGTGACCACTGGGTATACTCACAAAAAAACTCTACTCTACATCAGATAAGTGAAGCCTTCTTAATGAATCACGAATGGATACAGAAGAAGTTCTCTTCAGTCACCAGTATTAGCTTCTAGTAGCTAATCATGAGCTGAGTGATAAGCAGTATTGTTAAAAAGTTGACAATACACTCTTACAACATTCCTCTATCAGCTGTTTACATGGGAGCATTTAATTTTAGCGTTTTTTAAATTACTAAATTCAACATTACGCTACTGGTTATTCAAAATTCAACCTTGTACATATAGAATGTTTCATCCTTCATCTGTACAACACTTGAGCAGGCAGGCTGGGAGACAATAATCTTTGCTTTCTCAAGTTCTTTTTGTCGATTAATTTCCCAATCTTGGAGAACTTGTGTATCATAGGTTGAAATCACTGTCACTTCTAAATCCTTATCTTCCCACTTTGTCTTTCCTTCGAGAAGTGCTTCTAAAACATGTAAGCTTGGTTGGTCGCTGCCTTTATTATTACCACTAATTACGTAGTTCTTGGCTCTGACACGCCTGAAAAATTCCATATTTATGTTTTCTTTGCTTGCATGGTTAGGGACGTAGGTGAGATCAATGTAGACTGGAGGACCACTCACTGGAATTGGTTTTTCTTTTGGAGGAGCTGCTGCAGATTTAGTAGTACTCCCAGACTTTCCATTGACAGCCTTACTAGGTGCTTTCTTTGGGTCCGGTTTCTTCGAGTCATTCTTTTTTAGGGATGAAGATGACTTCTGAGGGGTTGATTTCTTATTATTAGACCCAGACGGTGTTGATGTCGGGCGCTTGGATTCTGTTTTTTTAGATGCTGCAGTAGGAGGTGAAGGCACCTTCTTTTTGCTGTCTGTCTGTTCAGCAGTACTTCTTCTTTCAGATGCTTTGGTAGGACTTGCAAATGATTTCTTTTCTTCCTTTTTATTAGATGTCTTTGAAGCTGCTGATTTGGTTGTAGATGCTTTAGTGCTCGCTTTTAGACTAGTGGGTTTGGCTAAAGGCTTTGATTCTGGTTTAGCCTTTGGTGTAGAAGATTCAGATTTTGCTGTGGATGTCTTTTCTTTCATTGTTGTAGCTTTCTTTTCTGCAGGTTTTGTGGCAGAAACTTTACTAGCTGTTGTTTTTTTTACTGTTTGTGTTTTGTTAATCTCATTTGTTTTTTTAACATCGGTTTTTTTAACATCAGTTTTCTTAACATCGGTTTTCTTAACATCAGTTTTCTTAACATCAGTTTTCTTAACATCAGTTTTTTTAACTTCAGCCTTCTTAGTTGCGGGCTTAGGTTTCGGTGCTGTTGATTTAGTAGGCTTATCACCTGTTTTAGCAGCAGGCTTCTTAGATGAGTCAGCTTTCTTTGGTGTTGCTTTCTTAGTGGATGTTGCCTTTTTGGTAGACACCTTTGCTTCTGCCTTTGATGACCCTACTTTTTCTTCTGTTTTTTCCTCAACTGGTATAATAACTGGGGCAACAACTCCTACAGGAGACTTGGGAGGGGATGCTACTGCTGCTGGGGAGACGGGTGGAGTTGGTGCAAGCTCTGGCGTTGTCTTTTCCTTTTCTTGATGGTCTTTTGCTTCCATTTCATCTCTCATTTCATCCATTCTTGCTTGGATTTCTTGAGGGCTTGGGGAATGTTGTACTGGACTTGATGATTCTATGTCATCCAAAGTAATTTGGTCTTGAGAATATTCTTCTTGTTTTTCTGTATGCACTGGTTTGGGTATATTATTAAAAGACACACCATCCAACTCATCTTTTTCACTATAGTTCTCAGTAACACCTACTGCTTCAATTGTTTCTTCCACTTCAGTGACTGATCTAGAAACCTCTTCAGGGTCATCTGTTTTTACTTCATTTGTAACCTGTTCTTCTTGTTTTTCTTCTGTAATTTGTTCTTCAACAATCAACTTGGATGTGTCTTCTTCATCTTTTTCACTATAGTTCTCAGTAACACCTGCTGCTTCAATTGTTTCTTCCACTTCAATGACTGATCTAGAAACCTCTTCAGTGTCATCTGTTTTTAATTCATTTGTAACCTGTTCTTCTTGTTTTTCTTCTGTAATTTGTTCTTTAACAATCAACTTGGATGTGTCTTCTTCATCTAGTAGAGTGGTTTCAACTGTCTCTTCTGTTGTACTTGGTTGTAATGACTCCTCTGTTTCTGTCTCCATTGGCTGTACAAATCCTTCTGTGATTTGCTCCTCAGAAACACATTCTGCTTGAACATCACTTTGAGCTATAACATTAGATTCAGTTACAATTGAATCAACTGCTTCTACTTCTTCCTCTTCAATATTGACTTTACTAAACTCTTGTTCTTCACTCTGCTCTTCTAGTTTTTCGCCACTAGGGCTTTTCTCATTTGGAACTTCGTCTTCCAACTGTTCATCCTCTTTAATTTTTACAATTTGTTGTTCATCAGCTAGTGAATCAGTAACTGTGGGTTCATCAGTTGTTGCTTCTTCAGTTTTTATCTCTTCTGTTTGTAATTCATCCGATGGTGTATCTTTTACTGCCAGCTCTTCAATGTCTGGTTTCTCAGTTTCAGGCTCTTCTGTTTGTGGTTCCTCTACCTTTGTGTCCTCAGCAGGTGATGCCTGTGAGTCTTCCGCTAGTGACTCCTTGTCTAGAGGCTTGTCAAATTCTTGTTCCTCAATCTGAGATTCCTTAGTTTGCAGTACCTCTGTATATGGTTCTTCAGTTTCCTCTGATTGTGGTTCATCTACCTTTGTGTCCTCAGCAGGTGATGCCTGTGAGTCTTCCGCTAGTGTCTCCTGATCTATAGACTCATCAAATTCCTCAATCTCAGATTCCTTAGATTGCAGAATCTCTGTGTATGGTTTTTCAGTTTTCTCTGATTGTGGTTCCTCAGTTTCCTTGGATTCTGGTTCTTCAAGTTGTGTTTCTTGTAAGTTGAGTTCTTCTGTTTGTCGTTCCCCAATTAGTTGTTCCTCAGATACAGTGTCACTTGTTTGCAGCTCATCAGTTCCCTGTGGTGCCTGTAATTCTGCATTTGTAGATTCTTCTGTTTTAGCCCCCACAATTTGCGATTCCTTAAATTCAGTTGCTATTTCTTCTGCTGTTGTCTCATCATTTTGTTGTTGCTCAATTTCAGTTGCAGATTCTTCAGCTCCAGTGTCTGCTGTTTGTGGTCCATCTGTTTGTGGCATCTGGGTTTGTATTTCTTCTCTTTGTAGTTCGTCAAGTTCGGTTGAAGGTTCTTCAGGCTCAGACTCTTCTGTTTGTAGTTCTTCCGTTTTTAGTTCTTCAATTTCTGTACGTTCTGTTTTAGGTTCTTCAGTTTGCTTCTCATCAATTTGAGGTTGCTCATCTAATGTTTGACTTTCTTCAAGCAAATCAGAAACTATTGCTGATTCTTCTACTTTTGTCCCAACCATTGTATCTTCCAGATGGACAGGTTTTTCACTTTCTACATCTACTGCTGCTTCTTCTTGTATTTCAACGTATACTTTCTTTTCATCAGACTCGGAAATTTCTGTATCTTCAATTTCAAATTCATCTCCGTCTTTTGGAAGCTCTTCACATTGCACATCAAGTTTTTCTTCTCTTTGGATATCTGTTTCATCCTGAGGATTATCTATTGTTTCACCAGGTTCATCATCTGATGCTGGCTTTTCAAATTTAATGTTCTCTGTTTCGCCAGGGAATGCTTCTGTTTCACCAGCTACAGCAATCTCAATCTTTTCATATTTCAATTGTTCCTCGGGTTTAACCTCCTCTCTATCCACACATTCACTATCTGCAAGTTCTTGATGTTTAGATTCTACATTTGAAATCTCTTCTGACATTTCTGTTGCCTCCGACTTATTTAGTAAATCGAAATTTGAGTGTTTGTTTTCATCTTTCTCAGCCTCATCAGGCTTGTCCTCTTCTGTTTCACTGTGAACATGGTGTGGCTGAAAACTTGTGTCAATGTTTTCTTCAGTTATATCATCTGAAATCACTTCTACCATTCCACTTAGAATGTCTTCCTCACCTTTTTCCGCCTCAATACTTTCTGTTTCTTCAACTGCATAAACATTCTTTTGTTGCTTATGATCTTCTAAAGCTTCTTCACTTCTTTCTAGTTGTTTATCATGTGGCTCTTCAGGCAAGCTTTCAAATTCTTCAATACCTGTTTCAACTTCAGTTTCTACTGTTTCAAGCGCTCCTTCTGTTACAGCTTGTTTATCACTTTGGACTTTTTCTTGCATATAACTTTTTTCTTCTACAGAATCATCTGTCAATTCACGTACTTGCATTTCTTTTAAAAGCTTTTCTTCATCTGATTCAGCTACTTCCCCTTGCAGTTGCACTTCGTCTACTTCTTCTTCAGTGTCCTTGGCCATATCAGTGGAATCAATCATTTCTGCTTCAACTACGTGCCCGTGCAGTTGAACTTCATCAATTTTTTCTTCAGTGTTCTCGGGCATATCGTTGGATTTATATATTTCTTCATGTTGATCAAGCTGGTGTGAATTTTCATTATCTTGCATAGCATAAACTTCTTTGGGCTCCTCTATAAGGTTTTCTTCTGGCACTTCGAACACTTGGTGTGTACCTTCAGCAGGAATATTCTCTACATCACTACTCTTCTCTACGTTTTCAGAAGCCTGTGGTGTGGAATGAATGACTTCTGCTGTTGCCATTTCACCAAGAGATTTGTCCTCTGTTTCTACTTCAGTATCATGCAATTCTACAGTTTCAGCTTCCTTGGTTTCTGCCGTTTCATGATCAACTGCAATGGCAATGGTTCCTACAGCTTCCACCTCTACAATATGTTCTTGATGCTTGCTTTCATCAGGAATACCACTTAAATCTAAAATTTCTTTAAAATCTGAGGAACCCTCAGTCATTGTCTCTGAACTTAGATCTGTACTGTGTCCTACTGTAATATCAACAAATTCAGAAGCAGTCACATCTGTACTTGTATCTTCAGTAATGTCTTCATCTCCCATCTGCACTGCTTTGTGTACTTCTTCTGTTTGTTCAACTTCAATCTGTGACGCCTGTGACTCAGCATCAGATGAGTCATCATGGTCATTTTCTTCATCTTAAAAAAAGAAAATTTTATAAGTGATAATCTCCAATATGGCGTTTTGTTAAAAACCAGGGAACAGTTAAATTACATGGATTGATCTCGAACTACAGTACTAAGGCGTGCTAATCCGATTGAGTTCCTATTGTTCGCTATTGTTCAAGTCAATAATTTTCCTGCTGTGTTTTAGTTCTTTGATCATAGACGCGCCTACCGACAGTTCAGCAACAAGTATGAAAATATCATCACCAACGTCAGCAACTTGGCCTTTGACTTCCAAAACCAGTCGTTTTCTATTTATATTTTTGTGTTTCTTAACAAATATACAGCAAATTAACACATGACGACTGATTTGAGACCATTTTACATATGTTATAAACGTGTTCCCTAACTTACATGGCGAGATTTACTAAGCAAGCGGAGTTTTAAATTTATGCAGAGGATGTATTGCAGGGATGGGCATAAAAATCGGACGAAGGGCCAAAGCATATTTTTGATTTAACACCGAGGGCTGCACCTAATTTTCTTTTAGAACTAGAGTACATACTGTACATACTACAAGCATTATACTTTTTTCCTGTTAATTGTTACATCATAAATTCAATAAATAAGAGTACAGGAGAGGAGTACAATACTACATAACTCCCTGCATAAAAACACCATCCCACATATACTGTACTGTCACAAGTATGTTTAACAGTGAACACAGGACCAGGGCCTAAAATAATTTTCTTTTTAAAATAATATTATGGATACATGATTAACAGTCCTGCTGAATGGAAAAAGCATTCGCAACAAACGTCCATGGTAAGGCCCGAAGCCTCCCAACAGTATAGTACTAAGCAACATAGGGCTAGGCTATGCCTGATCGTGAGTGAAAGGTGTACATGTTACGTTCAACGTCCTTATATCTAGGCCCGAATCCATGTCAAACTGTTGATAGTTAAAATATTGACACTCTAGATTTACTTTTTGATAGAAAATAGAATATAGACCATTAGCCATCGAACATATTTGCAAAATATTAAAACAATCCTCGTTTCTGTATAACATTTAGGTGGTGTAATTTAACTGTTCCTTGGTATGATACGACGTTGATCACCATGAGAACACGATGCAGGAAGTATTAGATCGTGTAGTTTACACAATAGCGAGCATGCGCAAAGCAATTGGGTCATCATATAGTTATAAATTGTTTATCAGTTGGTTATGATAAGAGTGGCGGTACCACAGGTTATAACCTTTGATGTTCGGTTCGAGATGTTTCCATGTAATTTAACTGTTCCCTGTTAAAAACATATCAAATAATTTTATAGCTTGACTTTGATAAAGTAAAAAAATAATCCTTACCCACAGCAATATTTTGTGATGCAGTTGGCTCATCCAATGGGATTGATTCTTGTACTGCCACTTCTTCAGCTTCAATTTGCTTCTCTTGATTTTCATCACATACGGTTTCAACATTTCTTAGGTCTCCAGCTTCAGGTTCTGAACTTTGTTTGGAGAGCTCTATAGTCGGTTCCCATGGACATGGTTCTTGCTGTTGATGATCTAATGGAATGGAATCCTGACTAGCGTCTGGTGAATCATCAATCTTATCCTGTTCTTCTGAAATCAATTGCTCATTTACTTCTTCCTGTGAAATGTCTTCTACAGATTGGTCTGTCATTTGATCCTCTGATGTTTCTGTATCGATACTGTTTGCTGTGTTCTGATCTGGCGATGTAGCAGGATACCCCTCATCTGGGGATTCTATTGGTGCTTTTGTTGCTATTGGAGCAACAATATCATCACCACTAGGATTATAGCCTATTGGTTGCATTTCTGGCTGTTGGCTTGTAAACTGTACAGGATCTGGCAGGTTGTTTTCTGATACCTTCTGAATTTCAACATCAGCTTCCTCATCTGGGGGAGGAGTGTTGCAATGAATGCCATCATCACAAATACCATCTTGAGGAGGAGTATTGCAATGTATTCCATCTTTGCAAACACCATCAGCAAGTTCTGGAGGAGGAGTATTGCAATGGAGTCCATCAGTGCAAATCCCATTAGCAGGTTCTGGAGGAGGAGTATTACAATGAATTCCATCTTTGCAACCACCATCAGCAATCTCTGGAGGTGGTGTATTGCAATGAATCCCATCAGTGCAAATCTCATCAGCAAGTTCTGGAGGTGGAGTATTGCAATGGAGTCCATCAGTGCAAACCCCATCAACAGGTTCTGGAGGAGGAGTGTTACAATGAATCCCATCTGTACAAATTCCATCAGCAAGTTCTGGAGGAGGAGTATTGCAATGAATTCCATCTTTGCAAACTCCATCAGCAAGTTCTGGAGGTGGAGTATTACAATGAATCCCATCTGTGCAAACCCCATCAGCAGGTTCTGGAGGAGGAGTATTACAATGAATCCCATCTGTACAAATTCCATCAGCAAGTTCTGGAGGAGGAGTATTGCAATGAATTCCATCTGTGCAAACCCCATCAGCAAGTTCTGGTGGAGGAGTGTTGCAATGAATTCCATCAGTGCATACACGATCAGCAAGTTCTGGTGGAGGAGTATTGCAATGAATCCCATCTGTGCAAGGAGCATCATTAGTGGTGGTAACAGCTAGGCTACTTTTTGATCCTTCTTTTGAATCTCTTGCAGGTTTTCCTAGTCCATTTACAGCTCCATTTACTTTCCCTTTTGCTGAAGTGCGGCCTGAAGTTTTTTTTGAAGGTTTTCCTCCACTTTTAAGCTTGTTTTTAGTGACATCTGCATGTTTTAAAAAATCCAGATCCTTACATCTATCCAGTCCTTCTAAAATCTTGTTTTGTGGAGCATTTCCAGGGAATAGTACTCTAACAATGTTTTCATTTGGATTATATGGCTGCCATACAATGAGGGCACAAACAGACACAACATTTGAGAGTACCAAATCTCCATCTTTTCCATTTACACTAACTCCCGTTTTGGCCTTTGTGAAACATTTTGCATTGGTGCTCCACTGTTGCATAAAGTCTTTCAGTTCTTTTGCATCTTTAGGTGGTGATAGTATGAACATATCAAGTTTACCAATGCCCACCTTCTGGTAAAGTGTAATTGGTTCAATTGTTTTACCGCTATTCGAAGTACACATTATTGGTTCAATGTCCAAATCTCTCAACAGTTGCATTGTTTTGTTTCCACTACTAACAGTTTTAAGAACCAAACTCATAGGTGAGCTTTTTCCTTCTGGGGCATTGACATAAACAACACCTACTTCTGGTGAGTTACATTTCATCTGCCATTCATCAAACTCCTCTGTTCCTCTTTCAGGTTCTGGAAGCTGGGCTTCTGCTATTTTACGTTCCAATAAGCTGTTTATTCCAATGACACTATCTGGCTGCATATGTGGCAATAGAATGGCATCTATTCTGTGTAAGTGCTTAGCAAATTTCCAAAAGCATGGTTTGACTGGATAACCACCTCCAATAAAGATACTGAAATCATTGACGGCGAAGAATGCACAATCACCTTTTGCTGCTGGAAAGATCAGTACAGTTGGCTTTGAAATTTTGCACTTTACTCCAACACCAATTGTTGGTGGCTCTAATTGGTCAAATGGAGATGGCACTTGCACATGTGTGGATAGTGCATCCACTAGTTGCGGAATACTCTGAGCATCGTTTTTAATGTCACTTGGGTTAAATGTTAGAGTTAAAAGTTTGGTAAATTCTTGTTTTGATACTGTTCCAGCTGGCCAATGACAACCAGATACAGATAATGTTGGCTTCTCTTCACCAGCACTAGATAGGGCACTCTGAACATTTTCTTCAGAAATGATATCAATGATATCTTGAAGATTGAATGTATCATCACTGAGCACCCAGTCACCAGTGATCTCAACCACATGACCTCCATATATTAGGCACTTGTGCTGAGCTGAATGTGACAAAAGATTCTGAAGCTCAACTTTCACAGCAGTGGCATTAGGACTAATTAGCATCACAATGCCCAGGTTCTCTCCTGCATGGCAGATACTACTGCGACCTGAAAATAGATAAAAAGACAATAAAATTACAACGATTTACAATGTTAAGTTTAGGGATAAAAGGTAAAACATACATAATGTACAGTACTGAAATTTAAAACAAATTTATAGATAGGCCAATACTATTAAATAGAGGAATTTAGCAATGTCAGCCCATCAGTAAAAAAAATGTTTTGCTTTTAAATTGTCAAACAAAAAATCAAACAAATACATAGATTTAGAATAAGGGAATACAAGTAGCTGTAACAATGGAAATAAAAACACCCATTTATACATACTTAAATCGTCATGTGGGCTTTAGTCTCTGCATTTTTGTTTGCAATTACACCTGTTTATACATACTTATATTGTCTTTGTAGACATTAATCTCTGTACATTTTTTTTCTGTAATTACTATAATAAGTGCATGATGACAAGTCTGCCAGAAAATAGTTATAAATGTTTCACTGGAGTAATATAGAGATAATATGTTTTAAAATTTAGAATTTTCATGAATATTCATAGTATTGATTAATAAATATGCATGAGGATTACGTCCAGTCCAGGTATTATAAGTTGAAGTCAGTATAGCTTCTCCAGTATCAGGAAGCTTGAAGTTATTATAAAGAAACTATAGGATATCCTGTGTTTCCTACTAAGTGTTTCCAATATTTCAAAATGGTTGCCTACTGAATCAATGAAGAATTTGGTTTTCAGCCAATTCAATTCAAAATTTCCAATATATTTCATTAATGGCAAGTTTATTCTGAAATGAAAATAAACCATCTCTTACAAGTATAAAATAACATTAATGTAATACCTCCAAATAAGTACAACATATTTGTGGGAAGGCTTTTATTATATTATAATTATGCAGATATAAATTGGGTAGATAAATTTTTACTAAAATTCAAATGGTTTCTCTAAATTTTGAAATTCTCAGAATAAACGAAACTGAATAAAATCCTGTACATTATTTATATATCCATACAAAAATGTATATTTGATAAATATATACCAGATTCATCAGTCTTTAGATCAGCTTGGGCGAGGGCTGAGATGTTTCCATCTAGTCCAGCATCTTCGCCATCAATATTCCAGCATTTCAGACCTGAAAGATAAATACAGTAATTTTATTTATTAACTATATGCCCTGAAATTAATGAAAAGTTTGTACATTTTGATTATATATACTTATTCTTCCAGAAAAAAAATAAACGGTCGGGATCACAACAAGAAGTGCCATAGACGCTTGTCACTAAGTGACCCACAGACAAAAAAAGACAACAGAAAACAAGAAAAGAGGAAAACTTTGTGAAAACAGTGGAGTAACATAAAAAGAGTACATTATGCACCTACAGTAGCTTTAAATGTTGTATAAAAATATAATGTTTTTACAAATTTTTACAATAACCAGAAAGGGAATTAATGTTCTTAAAATAATCACTGTGTCCTTTTCATAAACGTGGTCCAGCAGCAGAAATAAGTTGAAAGGGAGGACATATTGAATGAATGCATAGTGTAAGTTATAACATTACTGTATTAGAAAATATTTTAGGTATTGGGTTTATAGTGATTATATATCCAGCAATCAATATACCAGACTTATATCTGTATCATGATGTAGCTATATACATGATAGATGCAAATGAGTTAAATGGGTAGACATGTCACATCTTATCAGTCTAGTGGTCATGTGACAGTGATATCTAATTATATCAGTCTCTCTAATCAATACTGGTAACGAGTACTTGGATACTTCCTTGGTGAGGCCCTTGAGGTACCTTGAAAATAAATATGGAATGCTTTCAATGCGCTTTATTAACTAGCTTGCCATATTTACTGTTCAGTAGGAGCCCCATCACAATCATTCGTATTGATTGAACACACAAGAAACATTCAAAAAAATCATTTGGTAATTCTATTCCAAGTTTGCTCTTTTAATGGAACACCAGTCGCGGAGTTCTAATAAAGAAAATCAATATATGAAATTCACTGCTTTCCATGTATTAGGGTGTAAAAATATTTAGTTTGAATTTCCTTTCTGAGCAAAATGTTATGGATATTGAAAGTACAGGGATAAAACGCAATTAAATTGGAACAATATTGAAGGGGGCCTTGATTACTAAAAGTAAAGAACTTTAGTATTAACTATATATAGAAAAACAGTCATATAATAATTACAAATAATATTTTTCGGTGAAAAAAGATTTCATAATGAGACGCATGAATAATCTTTTTTATACAGGAAGTAAGTGCTTTTGTATTTCTCTTGCTACTGGTTTATGTTAGTGGGGGCGTGTCCAAACCTATGGTGTATAACTCACGCACAAGCATGGTGGACTGACCTGGGACTTTGGGATAGCTAAACTTAAAATGATATAAATTGACATCAGTGTCTCACCAAGATAGATTTCTATTTGCAGACAAATATAAGTTGAATATTACGATTACAAATAAGAATTGATTAAAGAATTATTGTCTGTATTGAGGTAAAATGAACAATACATTTTAATTGTAAATTTTGTATATCTAGGTAAATTACTTTATATGCTTTAAACTGAAATAAAATAACATATTTCCTGACCAATTATGCAGATATAAGAGCATTCTTATATTTCTTTGTCATGATGTGCGTTTAATTGACTAGTAATACATTTCAGGATTTTTGTAGTAAAAATATCTGTAAATAAATTGGTTTTTATATTATGAAAAATGTTTCATTTAGGTTTTTATCATGAACAGTATGCAGCTGGAAATATGTAAATGGGTATTCAATTGATGTAGTAAATAAATTAGATTGCACTGTAGAATATTTGAATCATCTTAAAGTCTTATGATGAACTGTTTAGCATTGTTAAAGGTTCCAGCAGATTGTGTTTGACTGTAAAGGCGAGCATTCACTGCGCATGACGAATCCAACTCTACTCTCTGCGAGAGATATACGGCGTGACGCCGAATGCTGATTGTCGGTGGCAGTCTGAATGGATCATCATTAAAAACGATTCGTTGCGCGCGCATTGTTGCATTGCCTTCATTATAGAATCGCGTCGGCTGACGACCGCTGTGTTAAGCGAGTGCCCGGCTTAATTCACCTTTTCATTAAGGTTCTCACAGTATACAGTATTCATCCTGACAACATATGCCTAATTTACGTTGAATTAGAGTACTAAAATATTTAATTTTTCATCTACAAAATTTGAACAGAATTTGATATCACTCCATGCAATAAAATGATTACTTTATATCATATGGGACTCATTATAACAATCAAACACAGTTACCACTTGGAAAATGTTTAAATAATTAATTTTAAACTTAAGGTTAAAAGGCACCAGGTAGGTAAACTGTAAGCTTAGAATTTATTCTTTATAACCTTTCGGAGTACTTTTACCATTTGGTCTCATTTCAATATTAATGGTCACTTCTTAACGTGTTCTTGAATAATTGTTATCTAGCTATGATCAATTATAAACTGCACTCGAAGGATATCTAATATTCACCTAGGAGTCTAGTTTACCACATCGTTAGCTTTTAACACATTAGGTATGACTACACACAGTAAATATTGCCAACAGATGGTTCTTAATATGGAAGAGGACATAATACAATTTTACCTGCGGGCACTGAGAATACACTTGTATTAAAAAGGTTCATTATGTAAAATCCTAAACATAGAAAGTTAAAGCATATTTTACAATTGTTTTAGAGTATTAATGATATATGCACTATATAGATGCAACATTATTATTAATATTATACACAGGCATTACACATGGGATGCTTTTACATTAAGTGGTGGACAGGGGGTCCAGGTGAGGAGGGGTACTCACAAGAAAATTTCTAAATTGCCATAATTATAAGATGATAAATATGCATCAACCCTCCCTATTGTCTGATTTTAATACTTTAAGCAAACTGTTTCCACTTATTCTCCCAAATATATATTTAAAAGTATGGCAAATGAGCTATAAAAGCACATACATATTATATACCGTATTATGATAGGGTAGAGAAAGGTGAGGAAAAGATGCTCTAGTACTCTAACAAACTACCGCTAAATCTTTGTCCACAATATCAAATTTTCATTTACAAAAAACTGTTGTATGCCCATAAATAGTCATGATATGCCTATATATGGACAGGACTTTAGGACTACAGAGTAAATAAGTCTTTAGACTTTTGTGAGTTATCTTTGGCCTTCACACTAAAGAAAGCCAATACAATCCTATAACTCATCACTAGCATATCAACATACCAAAACATAAATCTAATCTAATGTTTTTTTAATTCATTTTCCATATTCAAGGTCCCATATTGTTGTTTTCTTAAACCACTAAGTTTGGAGATCAAGCTTAAAAAAACAAACATAATAACTTTAAAAAACAACTAATAAAAGAATATGTATGTAAAAAATGGTCTGAGGATGATCCCAAGGATATCGATTGACTGAAAAACATGCAACGAAAGACAGATTTTCGTCAGAATGCAGCAAAAATTGGCATGGCCTGCATAATTTTTGTTTCTGATGAGAGTATCTTGGCATCAATCCAACTCACAGCTAGAATTTAGCAGGTGTTAACATTATCCCTGGCATAGTAGACAAAGCCAATGATAGTTTTATTCAAACTGATATTTAAAAAAAAAATTATTTGAAGTAAAATACACAAAAAATATTGTTGTGCATCCTTGAAAAAGGAATCGCACTAGGAACACCAGGATTTCCATGTACCATATTTATTCAATCTCCGAATATTTGATTTGATTTAGATTTGACTTGATATCTGATTTAACATTTTGAATAATTTTTGCATATAGTCCATACATAAAGTATCTTTTTAAAAAAGCATATATTCCATAATATAATATATTTTTCTTTGTGTTAGTCTAAACCTTGCAGCAATGAACTTAGTCTTAATAGCAAGATGTCAAATGTAAACGTTATTGGAAATAAATAATGTTATTTTTAATATACCTCATATATGGTCAGTACTTATTATTGTACACTGAGTTTTCATTATAAAAAATCAATAGAATTTTCATTAATAAATACTATAAATACTACTAGTACAATGGTGAAATATTGTTGCAAAATTTTATATTCTTTGCACCTATATGCAGTATATTTAGACGCATAATCAGATAAAATAGAAAACTCAATAAAAGATCCAATACTTTTGGGTCTTGTATTCGAATCTGATAATAGCAAAAGTGATATGATATGAAACTGCTATTGCAGGAATTGATCTAGCAACCTTTGGAGTAGTTCTGGTGCTCCCTCTTAACTGGACATGGAACAACCATTACCACCTAGGGTACACTAGTTTGGCTTATTTTCCAGAGTTTAGTTTTTTACTCTATACATTACTAACAAAAATGGTATTAAAAATTTATTCAAAAAATCAGATTTTGCTGACAAGATATTTATCAGGATTTTTTTTAAAGGACTGCAGACTTAGTGTTGTAAATATTCTAAAATGAACAATAATGTGTGTGTTATCTTTTTATTACAGCCATTACCAACAGTTACGATAGTATATTTAACTAAATATACATAAACATAAAAAATAAATAGAAGAACAAAAAAAGATTGCTCAACAAATTAAGCGTACACTAGGAAATTACTGTATGGTGCAGTAAAATAATTTTCTATGGTGGACTAAAAATATATTCTGTAATATATCAATTTTAATTACTCTAATTGCTGCTATAAAATACTATTTAGATATGGGTCTGTGTACTTTTGCTAATTTGCAAATTCAGGCAATGTAGATTATCGATAATGTTATGAATTGTGAAGGCAAACTGCCAAAGGCCAAGTAACCAAGTGATTCTAGCACTTTGGTTGCTCTGTCAGGGAGTTAAAATTTAGGTCACATCTTTTTTTAATGCGCCAATATATCTATACTACTATGATACAATTGCCATTCAGTTGGCAATTTGTATATTTTATGTGTATATTTATAGCATATTTGGAGATATAGATCTTTACTGCGTATACCATTTGAACTGTCAATCTTGTATCAGAGGTCCCATTGAAAAAAAACACATGGTCATGGTTAGAAAAAAAATTACACCTTACGATGACAAATTGGCGATGTATTTTTAAGG